TGCTTGTCACACTGACGGGTCACCGTGTGGCACAGTTCTGTTACAGTCACGCGTCAATGTCTCGCTGACGTGTCACTGTGTGGCGCCGTACTGTTAGAGCCAGGCACCACTGTCAGGCTGACTATCTCCATTAGGGTTCCCAATGATGACCGAAGCTATTCTGGGAGATTTTTTTTTCAAACATGTCATTTTTGTAAAATATCCCATTAAAATCTCCCGGCCCGTTTACAATAGTCACCGGGAGATGGATGCCGATTCCGGGAGGCTCACTCCAGGCCAGTCCTGGAGCGTTGGCAACCCTGCCTCCGTGCGGCCCCCAGCCGTTATGGCCACGCGCCCGCGCCTCACTCCTGTCCCAGGAGCGGGGATGGGAGACGGCGGAGGCGCTAGTGGATGGGGGCACTGCCGGCCGGAAGTACGCTGGCCTCGGCGTCGCGCTCCGGCTCGCGCTGGCCTCTCGCCCGCCTCGATCGCGCCTCACACGCGTTCCCGCCAAAACGGGACAGCGGAGACGCTGGGGGGAGGGGAGGAGCAACGGCTTCCTGCGCGAGCGCGCCGTCTCCCCGTCCCCATGGCAACAGGCCCCGCCCTCCCCTGTGGGAAGGGCTTCGCTTCCGGCCGGCGGCTGCGCGGAGTCGGCGCAAGCCCAGTGGGGACTGGCGTGGGCGCCTGATGCCGGCAGCTCCTCACGCGGGCGGGGTGAGTGCTGGCAGACGGGGGCTCCCGGCCCCCTTCGCGCCTTGGGGGGGGCGCTTCCCCGGCGGGGTGCGAGCCCCTCCCGCCTCCTCCGCTGGGGAGCGCGAGCCGGCTGCTCACTGGAGGGGTTGGGTGAGAGGCTCTGCCCCCCCCCGCATTGCCCCCGGGGCTGGGTCGGTTCTGTGCCCCTCCCCCACGGGGAGCGCTGGGTGGGCCCCGCGCGCGGCCCCTCCCCTGCGTGGCGATAGGGGGAGGCACCGGCCACGCCCCCTCCGGCCAGTGCGGGCCCACCAGTGGGGCTGGGCCCCCCCGTGAGGTTCCGTGCCTGGCGCCGGCGCCCTCGGCAGCAGCCGTTAACGTCCCTAGTGTAGACACAGCCCCTG